CTTAACCCAGTGACACTGTCTGGGGGGGACCTTTGAATGTGCCTCTTCCTCAGGCTACCTTTCTGTCAGATGCCTTCCTTCAGTGCCTCAGTCCCTGGCACTTCCATCCAGGTCAGCCTGTGGTTCCCTAGGCTCAGTGTTGGACATGCCTGGTTGCCCACGTGGCATGAGGGCATTAAACGGGTGCTGCACGGAGGGTATAATAATGGCGATGTACTGAGACTCCCATTCCTGGGTGGTTGGCCTCTGTGCTTCAGCACTGTTCCTAAGCCTTCAGTATCTGCCATGAGTGGAGCTCATTTTTCACGGCTGCCTGCTGCCGAGTGGAGTCACACATTCAAGGGCCTGGCAGAGCAGAAACGGTCAGCTTTCTTCTCTTTCTTGTTTTATCACTTTTTATTTTATTTTTAAACAACAGGAAAACTAAATCCCAGAGATAGCAAGGGATCTGCCCCAGGTCACACAGCTGTATGGAGGTCAAAATGAATGCAGAATGTGAGGTTTCTGGAGCCAGGCAAACGCTGAGCTTGTCCTGATGAGCACTTTGTGGGCTCTACACTCCAACGACGACGTCACTTGCTTTTCTGCCTAACAGTTGAATGAACATTTGGAGCAGGCTGTAGTTCTTTTTGTTCTCCCAGAAGTTACAAGTGCTGCGGTATCTTATTTATGAGAGCAAAATCTAGTTCACATCACTGTTATTAAAACTGTGATTTAACAAAGATCTTTTATTACAAAAATAAATTTCACTAATAACCACTCAGGCACTTGGCAATTAAAAATAAAACTGTGTAGTAAAGAGAATGCCATTCACACCACGCTTGATTGTTCTCTCTCCTCCTCCCGCCTGTACTCAACAGCATTGTCACAGGGTTTCAATGTCACTGGCATTCGCCTACTTAATCCTGGGCTGAGCTTCAAACAACAGGCTGATTCTGTATTTTTTTTTTTAAGCTCAGGACTAATTCTTTCTGATAGATGTGTATCTTTCAGTCCTTAACAATCACCTCTGCCAGGATTTGGCCACTTGGATTTGTCCGCTTAATGCAATGGCTATGTTTGATCTTGTCACTGTTTAAGACGAAAGCACATAGCATGAGAACCTCATTGTATTAGTCATATCAGGCTGCTGAGTCTGATCTGACAAAACACTGCAAAGACAGAGTCACTGAACAATAGACCTGTGTCTTCTCACTGTTCTGAAGGCTAGACATCCAAGACCAGCATGCTTAGGCTCTGGTAAGGGACCTGGTGAGGGACCTCTTTCAGGCTGTAGATGGCTGAATCCTCAGTATATCCTTACTGGCAGAGACGGGGAGAAAGAGGGTGGAAGAAAGAGGGAGAGAGAGACACACAGAGATAGAGACAGATACACAGAGAGACAGAACTGAGACCCTTTAGTTGCTTGGTTGAGGGTTTTTTTTTTTTTTTTTTTTTTTTTTTTTGAGACAGAATCTCACTATGTAGCACAGACCAGAACTCCCAATCCCCCTGCCTCAGCCTCTGAAGTGCTAGATGACAGCTGTGCATTGCCACTTACCTGGTTAATGCTCTTCTTAGAAGAGTGCCTAGGCACTTCCCGCCCTCATGACTTCATCTAATCACTTCCAGAGGCTCCATCTCCAAATACCTTCGGATTGGAGTTAGTGCTTCAATGGTAGGATGGGAGACAGTTCAAGCCCCTTGGTACCCTCTGCCTAAACTTCCTGCCTGGCTATTTTCACAGTGCTTGAGTATAAGCTTGCACTTGGGATCACATTCACAGGGCTTGTTTATTCTTTTGCGTCTACTATGAAAAAGGAATGAGCTGTTTCAAGTCCCATTAGTGAACAACAGGTAGAACAGCTTGTTGTCAAAGCTCCTTTTAGCTACAGAGGACCCAATAGCGCCAGCAGGAGCTCCCTGGGGCCTCTGAAAGTTCCCCTCGTTATTGCCATATTAGTTCCTCATTGCAGCTCACAGGTGAAAGAGTTCTTAAAAAGGTGAAGAAATTAGTCAAATGCCTTTGGTTGTAAGTGTGGATATACGCCCCGCAGAATCTTTTGTAGGATTTCTCTATACATATTGACACAGCTAATCTTTGCTTCTCCAGCAAGCACATAAATATTATCCAAGATGACTGGCATATGGTACTGTTATGTGTCTTTTAAGAAGATATCCAGCCAAATCTAGTATTTCCCATGTGGCACCTGATACACTGTGGGTGTGAGATATTTATAGAGCGATAATAATACTTGGATTCTGTAATGTCTAAAGGCTCTGTCTCTCTTGCAGATTTCATCTAGAAGGCTGCATTCTGCAGACCTAAGCTCTTGCCAGCTGTTCTCATAGTCTGGGATGCTGAGCGCTGTCGGCATCCCAAAATGGCTGTGCTAAGCACTACTGCCACTGAGTCCTGTAGTGGGAAAGCTACCATCTCTCAGTCATGGGACTCTCCTGCCACTGGGGACTCCTGCCTAATCCAGCCGTCTAACCTTGGTCTTTTGCCCTCAACTAGAATTAGGGCTTTGATGCATTTTTTTTCCTCAATAATCTTGGGGGGATCCATAGGCTACTTGTAGTAGTTCACAGCATCACACTGTAGAGCAACAGTCTATGGGACGTCCCTGAGCAGAGAATAAACTTAGTTTCCATTTTATTTATTTATTTATTTATTTTTGTTTTGTTTTTGTGCATAGGTTTTTTTTAAAAGATTTTATTTATTTATCATGCATACAACATTCTGCTTCCATGCATATCTGCACACCAGAAGAGGGCACCAGATCTCATAACGAATGGTTGTGAACCACCTCATAACGGATGGTTGTGAGCCACCCTGTGGTTGCTGGGAATTGAACCCAGGACCTCTGGAAAAGCAGTCAGTGCTCTTAATCTCTGAGCCATCTCTCCAGCCACCCATTTTATTTATTTTTATTTTGTTTTTTGGTTTTTTGAGACAGGGTTTCCCAGTACTTATGGAGCCTGTCCTGGAACTCACTCTGTAGACCAAGCTAGCCTTGAACTAACAGAGATCCGCCTGCCTGTGTCTACCTAGTGCTGGCATTAAAGGCATGTGCCACCACTACTCAACTTTAGTTTCCATTTTAAACAAACTATTCGCCTTCCTTGTGCTGGATAAGTTTTATGTCAACTTGACACAAGCTAGAGTTACCTGAAAGGAGGGAACCTCAGATGAGAAAATGTCTCCATAAGGTCCAGCACAAGATCTTAATTGGTGATTGGTGGGTAGGACCATCCCTAGGCTGCTGGGCTTGGGTTCTATAAGAAAGCAGGCTGAACAAGCCATGGTAAGTAAGCCAGCAAACAGCACCCCTCCATAGCCCCTGCATCAGCTCCTGCATCTAGGTTCCTGCCCTGCTTGAGTTCTTGATCTTACTTGGAAGTGAAACCCTAATAAACCCTTTCTTCCTCAACTTGTTTTTTCGGTCATGCTGTTTCATCACAGGGATAGAAATCTTACCTAAGACACTCCACACACACTTTTATTTTTTTAAGTCAGTGAGGATAAAGGGGGAACTGGGAGTTTTCTGTATCTACTGCAGGGCTCAGTCTGTTCTCCTCAATTTGTTTCTATAGCAAGCATAATAGCCAATCTTACTGGATTCAGTCCTATCCTGTTTCAATTAGTCCACGTTATCAAGAGACCCACTGGGATAATAGCCTTCACTATCAAAGGTCTATTCTGTCAGGTTTTACCAGACTCCCAGAAGGTGGGCATGAACACTCCATTTTACACATAGGTAACCAAGGTATAGTGAGGTCAGTTGTCTTGTCCAAAGACCCATAGCATCTAAGTGATCAAGTCAAGATTTGAACCTGGAACCATTTGACTCTGTAGCCCAGGTTCCTGCCCTCAGCACTGGAGAGGAGAGATGGAATTAGAGACTAGTTTTCCATACAAACAGGATTGCTCTTCTGAGGCTAGGCTGGAGTATGGGCACCAGGCTTATATTCCAGGCCACTGTTGTCATGTGCCAAACTACCCAGGATCAAAGGGTCTTGGGAGAACATTCTGGCTGTACAGAAGACATGTAAACAAATAGCAGCACCTTGTGATGCCAACTGTGCAGAGGGGCAATGAGAGGCTGTAATCTCAGCTCTAGAAACTGAGTGTAGCTGGCCCTGGTAGAGGAAGACGGAAAAGCTTTGAGGTGGCCAGGTCTTCTAGGCTGCGACTCTCATGTTTTAGAACCAAGAACAGGAGGGGGCTCAAGGAAGCAGGGTCCCAGTGTGGGATGGGTCTAGGCTTGAGCCATGCAGAGAGCATACCACAAAGCACATGGATATACAGCTAAAGTCTGGATAGAACCCGCCTAAGAGACTAGGGGAATCCTGAGGGTCATAGGTGGGGGCGGGGGTGGGGGCGGAGTCTGGCCCAAGATTGAGAACCAGTTCAGGGTAGAGGAAAGCTCTGGGAGGAGGTAGGTAAGGGCAGCATGTTTATAGAGGCTGTTGTAGGAACCTTGTCCAAAGATGCCTATGGTCTGATCAAGGTGGTTCAGCCATGGGGATAGAAGAGAGCAGGAAGCCTTGGAAGGAGAGAGAGGAAGATGACAAACCAGTTCAGGAGGGTGGTAGGGCAGGAGGCATCTCAGCCAGGAACAGCTGCTCAGTGGTTGAGAGCTCCTGGAGACAGCAGGTGCCAGGGGAAGAGAGGATAGCAATGGGGGGATGAGGTATAGACCCTGGACCCTGTGGGCCACCATGGCAAGGAGACTCATATTTAAGCGAAGGAAAAACAGGAAGGGATCTCTTTTCCCCTCCGCTCCTGCTCCAGCAGCACGATGTGTGGCGGTGGGGCTCAGGCGGCTTTGGCAGAAAGATTTATCGTAACAGGCCGTCGCTTCTATCTCGACCAGCAAGAGAAACACGACCACGACTCTTCTTCAAGCCGTTTATTCAGGAACCTTGTACATCAGCTTCTCTCTTCTCCCAGCCCCCGCAAGCCCTTAAGTAGATGCTCAGTGCCCAGTCAGCTCATGCCATCTGGCAATCCCGGATAGGCCACAGAAGGAGGAAGTGCGCCAGATGCCTCAAGCACTTCCAAATAAGGCTTGTTTACAGCTAAGCTCCTGGCATCCAGCCAAGTGCCATCTTAGGGCTGTGGCTCTCCACAGCAGGCCACCTCATCTGTCTGGAAGGATGGGTGATGACAATGTAGCCTCAGCTGCTCTAGAAGACATGAGATGGAGGGCAGGTGTATGTGTCAGTCTCATCAAACTGGGGTTAAAGCCTCATCTGGGAAGTGCAGCTGGGACTTTGCAGAGAAATGAAGGGTAAACGGAGGCTGGGTGAGCAGGGAGGGTCGGGCAGTGGTCTTAATTCAATAGGGCTCTGATGGGGAATGTACTGTGTATGTTTATCTTATTGATTGTTAAATAAAATACTGTTTGGCCAATGAAATGGCAAGTTAGGCAGGACTAGGAGTCAAAGAGGATTCTGGGAAATGTAGCAGAGAAGTGCCGGTATAGGCAGGAAGTGACATAGCAAGGATACTCATATTTAAGCGAAGGAGAAGCAGGAAGGGCCCTTTTTCCCGTTTGCCCCCTCCAGCGGCAGGATGTGAGCCACCGGCAAGGAGGGACGCCAATCAGGCGTCCGATAAGATAAGTCTTCTAAAATATATAGATGTATGATAATTGAGACTGAGCTAACAGATGAGAATCCTAGTCATTGGCTAAGGAGCCTTGTACCTAATACAAGTTTCTGTGTATTCATTTGGGCCTAACTCGGGCGTAAAGCTCACACATGGCGGTGGGTCTCAGGCAGCTTTTGGCGGAAAGATTTATCCCAGCAGGGCTCAGCGGTGGGCAAAGGCTGTGGCCCTATCCTGAACTGGCCTTGCAGATATATGACGAGGCAAATGGGGCACACGTGTGGCCCGGAGCCTGGGTTGGATGAGGAAAGTGGGTGGGACATGTTCACAGGCAATGAACTCAGGCAGGGCTTAAGAAGGTCACAGGTGTATATCATGACCTTCCAGTATCCTAACAGTGATGCAACAACTTTCCTGGCCCTCTCAGCTAACAGCCAGCCCCAAGTGAGCTGCTTTTAAAGGGCAAACCCCCTTGGGAGGCTGTGCCCTGTGGGTTTGCTGCCCTCCTGGCATCAAGAGCAGTCTCTGGGATGACAGTGTTTCCAGGTGTCCACAGCTGCACACACGTGGGTCTGGCGGCAGCAGGGAGGAAGGGAGAAAGCACTGGAGTCCAGAAGTGTCATTCACAGCTCTACAACTTAGTTTTGTTTTGTCTTCAACTTGACACAAGCTAGAGCCATCTGGGATGAGGGAATGTCAACCAGGAATTGCCTCCATCAGATTGGCCTATAGGCAACATTTTCTGGATTGAGAATTGATGTGGGAGGCCCAGCCCACTGTGGGCGGTGCCAACCCCAGGCAGGTTGTCCTGGGTTGTATAAGAAAACAGGTTGAGCAAGCAATGGGGAGCAAGCCAGTAAGCAACACTCCTCCATGGTCTCTGCATCAGCTCCTGCCTTTAGGATCCTGCCTTGAGTTCCTGCCCTGGCTTCCTTCCATGATAGACTGTGATAATGTAAGTCAAATAAACCCTTTCTTCCCCCAAGTTGCTTTTGGTCATGGGGTTTATCACAGTGACAGAAAGTAAGATGGACTCAGGGCCTTAGGCTCTCCATCTGTAGTAATAGGACACCTGTAGTCCCCTCTCTGAGGTCATTAGAGCCGCTCTGGAAGGAGTACTCACAGAGGAGAGGTTCTAAGAGAAGGTCCCTTGAGGGTGGGTGCAGGGTCCCTCCCAAGTCAAGTAGAGTCCTTACATAAGTGCTCTGGGCCTGAAGTTCACTGGAGGAAGAGGGAAAGTCTTCATCCCTGCTGGGTCTCTGGGTTCAATCTTCAGTAATCTCCTAAATGTCCCATGCTGGCCTTTTAGAGATATACAAAGAAAAGAGTCCACATGGTGGTGTGAGCCATTCCTGTACTACACACCTTCATTTACAGTAAGTGCTGTGGGGTTGGCCTGATGGCTCCGTCAGTAAAGTCAGATGACCTGAGGATCTCCAGGAGCCACATCGTGGAAGAAGAGAACTGACTCCCACAAGTTTTCTGCTGACCTCTGCAGGTGTGCTTGGCATGCTCATACACACACACACACACACACACACACACACACACGGAGAGAGAGAGAGAGAGAGAGAGAGAGAGAGAGAGAGAAAGAAAGAGTAAAATGTAATGTAAAAGTATGTCAGGGGCTGGAGAGGTGGGTCATCAGTGTACTGCTCTCGAAGAGGACCTGAGTTCAGTTCACAGTGGCCTTGTTGGGTCGCACACCACCCTCTGTAACTCTAGCTCCAGGAGACCAATGTCTCTGGCCTCTGCAGGTATTGATGAACCAGCTTGGCCATCTTATAGTAAAGACAAGCTAGTTTCATTCCTGTTTATGATTATATCTCTGTTTCTCAAGGACTGGGCCAGCCCCACCTGTAACCTTAACTCCTGTCTGTACTGCCTATTCCAGGAATGGCAATCATGCCTTTGTTTCAAAAAGATGCTTAGGGGACACTCTCATGTATACATGCAGACAAAACACCAATGCAAGTAAAACAAAAATAAAGTTATTAGGAGATTTCAAAAAGTTGTTTATAACCATCTTTCAACTCTGTCTTTGTTTCAAAAGGTTGTTATGACTATGTATTGCTATGACTGCCTTGTTAGGACCACCTTGCAATCATGCCTTTGTCTCAGAAGGTCACTATGACTGACTTGTTATGCTTATGTTCTGCTCCTGTAACCACACATAGTTCTTCCCATTTGGAAACCCCCTACCCTGAGCTATAAAAACATTGTCTTTCTCATGTCCAATATTGACCTCTGGAATCCCGCCTTAGGGGGAGGCAGCCTGAGTACACAAATAAAAAAGTTTGCTGTAATTAATTTGGCTGTGATGATTTGAGTCGGTGATCTTTCTCCTCAAATATTTGGGATTAATCTTACCCATACTCATACTCACATGCCCACACACATACACTTAATTTGAAAATGAAGTAAATCTTAAAACAACGTTTTAAAAAGATGAATGCTGTCATCCCACCCTACCAGGGGGATAGAAGCCAGGAGGAACTGGGAAGCCTTTCCTGAAGGCTAGCCTAAAATCTGAATCGAAAACCATCTGACCTTGGATCCATGGTGCCAAGCAGGGAACCCTGGACCCTTCACAAGTCCCAGCCAGGAAAACTATCCCTGCTACTATTATGGAGGGCATGGAGGTTCAATAGGTAAACTAGATGCAGAATTAGGCCCTAGCATAATGCATGTTAGGTGTTCTTGTGGCCAAAATTAGCTACCCTAGAAGGGCTTGCCATATAAAAAGCAGCCCTGCTTTTCAGGCAGAAACTGAGAGGTTTTCAGAGAACTGCACTTTTGGGGTGTAGACCCTATGTGCCCCCAAACAGCACAGGTCCAGCCAGCTCTTTAGCTGCAGATAGACTCTACCCCCACATCTCCCAGCGAAAAAGCACCCCCGACAGGTGCCCAGCTCCAGGCAACATCTCTCTTCCTGGTGGAGGGAGTACCCATGTCTAGGAAGAGAGGCAGACTTCACAAGGAGCTGCCTCCCCTCTGCCTGCCAGCCTGTGCAGCTGGCACTCACGGCCATCTGTGTCAATGGCCTCACCTCTCTCCTAATGCAGCCTGGCAGGTGCTTTGGCTGAGGGGCAACAGGACACAGGTCGCTTCCTGTGGCGGGAGAGCGATGAGATGTTTGCGGATGATGGATGTGCTCTGGCAGGAAGGCTGCAGGAAAGGACCAAGCTGCTGGGGACAGATTCAGTCACTCTGATTTAGGAAAAGGTGTTTTGAGGTTTTCTGTTTCTTTTCACATCACCCCTTTAAGTCTTAAGACCTTCTCATTCCAAAATGGTTTATTTTCAAAATATTGCCCTTGGCTGTTGTGATTTTCGTTCAGAGTTGAGTTTCAAGAGTTTGCCAGGTACTGCCTGGGAACCTTTAGTCTGCAGGAGATGTAGCATGCCCCATACCGAGACATTGTGTCTTTAGAAGGATGAGTTCAATTCACAGCTATGCCTGCTGCAATTATGGATAATTATCATGCCATGCTGAGAGATCTCCATGGGGTCTGGGCTAGGCAGAAGACAACTAGTGTACTTGGTTCCCTCCTGCTTTGGAGAGTCCCAATCTAAATTGTCCTGCTTAGATTTCAGAGGTGGGTGGGACAGAAAGAATTTGCTCATGCTGTGTGCAAATGTGTGTATGCCTGTATGCATGTCACTAAAATTAATTCTAAGTGAAAAAAAAAAAAGCCAGTTTGCCACAGTGTAAATAGAAACTTGTAATCAGGGATCCCAAAGGAGGTAAGGAGAAGAACAAAAAGGTTTTTTAAAGGGACCTAAATTTAGGCTTTGTTATATTAACAATGTGACTTTATAAATGCTGCCCTCACCGGGGCAGGGTGGGGTGGGGTGAGGGGAGGGCCCCTCTCTGGATCTTACCCTTTAGTTTGGCAAATATTGATCATGCTCCCATGTGTTAAGTTCCAGACATACCTGTTTTCACTTTAAAATTGTTAGCACATTTATTTGTGTTGTGTTAGTCACAGAAAAACTGGGTTTTTCCTTCCACCATGTGGGTCCTGGGGATCTCAAGGCATCAGAAGCCTTTAGTGGAAGAACCTTTACCCCCTGAGCCAATTCCTCAGCACCACACCTCCATCTTTTTTTAAAATTTTAAAATATTTCTTTTGTGTGTATGACTGTGTTTGCCTGCATGTATATATGTATACTATGTACATACCTGCTGCTCACAGAGGTCAGGGGAGGGCACTGGATCCCTTGGAACTGGAGTTGCAGACAGTTTTGAGCCACCATGTGGGTGCTGGGACTCGAACTTGGGCCCTCTGCAAGAGCAATTAAGTGCTCTAAACCACAGACCATGACAAAGACAACTCTTAACATATAGTTGGTGGACTTCTCATGTAGAATTAGCCATGCATTTGATAGCCTGTGTGTGCTGGTTGGTTTTTTCAACCTGATGCCTGGGAAAGTGGACCCCTTCCTTGAGGGGTTGCCTCCATCAGATTGGCCAGTGAGCAAGTCTGAGGGGGGCATTTTCTTGATTAATGATTGATGTGGATAGTGTGACCCCTGGCAGGTGGCCCTGGCTTGTATAAGTGAACAAGCTGAGGCAGCCAGTGAGCATTATCCTCCATGGCCTCTGCTTCTGTTCTTGCCTCTGGGTTTGCCTTAGCTTCCCTGGATGATGGACAGTATGCTGTAAGACGGAATTGTAATGATAAATCTTTCTGCCAAGCTGCCCAAGCCCTGCCGCCATGTGGGTGTCCAAAATAACACACAGAGTCTTGTATTAGGTACAATGCTACTGGCCAATGACTAAGATTTCCTATTTGCTAGCTCTGTCTTAAGTATCACCCATAACTATTAATCTATATATTTTATAAACTTATTTTATTGAGCACACTGGTGGAATATATCCTGTCTTCCTGGTGATCACATGGTGGCTGCTGTCTCTACTACATTTCCCAGAATCCTCCTCAACTCCTAGTCCCACCTAACTTGCTCTCCTATTGGCCAACAGTGCTTTATTTATCAACCAATAAGACAAACATATACACACAAGGACCTCCCCCATAATTTTCTCTTTTCTGTCTAAGTAAAAAGAAGGGTGTTAACATTAACATAGTAAAATATATAACAAAACAGTTATCAAGTAAGAACTATAGTTACAATATTTAGTCCATTAACATTTAGCAAGATTTAAAGAAAATATTCTATCATCTATCCCATCTTTGTGAGTCTAAAGTCTTATATGTAGCTTATCTTTTATAATAACTAAAGAAAACTATAACCATAACTATCTGTCTTCAACTCCAACAAAGACCACAGAAGGATAATAAATAAACTCTAGAACTGACAGAGATATCTCGCTGCCTGGACAGTGACCCGAAGTTCCTTTGTAACGTTGGGGCACACTGATGGAATTTATCCTGTCTTCAGTCTATAGGCCACAGTATGTCTGGCAGACTTCTCAGTGAAGCAGGAAATTTTAAACTGTCCACCTGTATTGGCAGTTTGTCAGCCAATTTCCTCTGTGTCCTGCAGAATGTCTGGCAGATGCTTCCTTGAAGCAGGGACTCTTCACAACTTTCCATCTTGTTTTCTAAGTTCAGCAGTCACTTTCCTGTGGGTCCTGCATGTCCAGTTTATCAAACAGTCCAGACAAGAGCAGTTTCTTTCCCAAATGGCTAATCTTGCCACATTGAAAGCAAACTCCATAATGAGTTGCTTCAATGCCCATCTTCCTCTCAGATGTAATTGGTGTGCCAGGAGCAGTTGTGTCTCACTGCCATGAAAAACCCTAAACCATTTAAATGCCATATATTCTGTAGGTCTTTGTCTATCCATCTCAAACACATCTCTCTATAGCTAGAAAACCTAACTAACCTAATTATAAGTTCTGACTATTATAGGTGACTATATAATTTGCATTTAATTATACATTACATTTTAAAAGATCTGTATAAACACAATACCAAACAAGAGGAGAAATTTACATATAACAAAATTAACCTGAAATTTGTATCAATAAATGAAAATCCATACCAATGTATTCATTTCTATATTCTATTCCCCTTTTTTCCTTTAAAAAGAGATTGACTGTGATCATTACCATTTATAACCAACCCTATTTAAATGAAAACAAACATTTATAAACAATATTTGGGAACTTGGGCATCGTTCGTTCCAAACTGCTTCCTGCTGGTTGGGGGTGATGTCCACACCATGGGGGATCATGATAAAACACAGAAATCAGGCCAGTTCCTTGTTTTTGTAGTCTGCAAGGCTGCATCGTCTCAGCTGTTTTGGATGTAGGATCGGTTGGGCCACTGCTTCAGGGGGTCTTGCTTGATCAAACCAAATTAGTCTGGAAGGAATCCACAGCTTTCCATTTTATGTGGAAACGTAAGTAGAAATTCTTCTCCCAAGTAACCTGTCCTTATATTTAAATTTAGAAGTCAAAGCATTTTAAAAATATATAAGTTGGACTAATTGAGTAGCACTTATAATCAAATGTGTTTTATCAGCTGTAGCTCTTTCCTCGGCAATCAAACAATTTAAAGACAACAGTATAACATATAGTATCCAGACTCTGTGAGTATTTTCCATCTTTACCTGGCTTTTTAATATTCTATTTCTTTTACTTCCTTTTTTTCCCCCCCCTGAGACAAGGTTTCTCCGTGGAAATCCGCCTGCCTCTGCTTCCTTCAGCAAATCCTACTGGCGTGTGCCACCACCACTGGCTTCCCCTTCCCCCCCCACTCGCTTCTCTCTCTCTCTCTCTCTCTCTCTCTCTCTCTCTCTCTCTCTCTCTCTCTCTCAATTACTTTATCCTGTTCTTTTCTCTCACAAGCCTACATATATTTTTAAATACACTGTAAACCTTTAGGAGTTTTTCTTCATCTGAATCTGTCTTTACTGTAAATCTTTACCTTTTTCTGGCTACACGATCTTTTATCTGCTAAACAGCATTGCTAAAATTAAAGCAGTGGCTGCTTTAGTGGATGTCTTTCCAAGATGGCGAAGGTATGTTTACCGCCAGCACTGAGAGCTATGCTCACTGCCTTGGTCTATGCTGTCATCAAGGAACACGCTTTCGGCTTGGAGATGTGGTTGCTGCCACTGCCAGCTGCTCATACATACCATTCAATTGTTAGCAAGAGCCCTGTGGTTTTTTGTTTTTGTTTTCTTTTTTTTCCAATTATGCTGAGTCAGGAAGCCTCTCTTAAAGGAGCCACTTGAGTATCTGCTTGTCTCTAGCAAAACAGAGACTACCCGAGAAAATACCACTACCAAGAAGTAGTGCTTGTCTCTGTTCCTTTGCTTCTAAATTCCCTTTTTAAGTTTTTGTGAAGTTTTTATGTGGAAGTTCATAAAACCATGTCCTGACACCATTTGGTAATGATAAATCTTTCTGCTACGTCACCCGAGCCCCGCCGCCACGTGGGCGTCCAGAATAACACACTGAGTCTTATATTAGGTACAGTGCCTCTGGCCAATGACAAAGATTTATTTGCTAACTCTGTCTTAAGTATCACCCATAACTATTAATCTATATATTTTATAAACTTATCTTATTGAGCACGCTGGTGGAATATATCCTGTCTTCCTGGTGATCACGTGGTGGCTGCTGTCTCTACTACATTTCCCAGAATCCTCCTCAACTCCTAGTCCCACCTAACTTGCTCCCCTATTGGCCAACAATGCTTTATTTATCAACCAATAAGATAAACATATACACACAAGGATTTCCCCATCACGGAATAAACCATTTTCCTCCTCAAGCTGCTTTTCATCAGTGTTTTCTCACAGCAACAAAAAACAAACTATTAGGATACTGTGTGTTTCCATGTGAGCCACATACTCTTAAGAACAGGGTAAAAACAGAGAGGGCCTGACAGGGACAGGAGCAGCCAAGAACACATCTTGGGCAAGGCCAATGGCTCCAGAACCAAACCCAAGTAGGCACAGGAAGAGGTTACAGGTAGGAACACAGACACGATGACTAGAGAAGAAAACTGTTGAAAGGAGGTGAGATTTCCACACAGTGCCCAGTGCTCTACAGGCACCAGCCTGACTTCTGTTCAAGCCTCTGTAGTGAAGCTTGACTCTTCCTCACTGTGTGGCCTCAGCCGAGTTACTCAGTTTCTCTGTGGCTTGATTTTTAAGTCAAAGCCTTGTGTGATGAGTTGGGTCATGAGATGAGGAGCTTGAGTGAGGACTTGAATTGACTCACTGAGGGGCTTGCCATAGAACTCAGTGCCATGCCTTGGAGCGCAGTGGGTACTTTCTGTCTTAAATCTCATCCACATTTGTTGGTCCTGGTGAAGGAAGGCTTGTGATTTAAACCCAGGCAACGAGGCCTAGGCTGGGCACACCCCTAGAGCCGACTGCATGGCTGCTGGTCTCATCTGGAAGGGGTGCCTAGGCTAAGCACAGGGATGGGCCCTCCAGACTGTCCCTGTGGTAATACCATAACCTCATTGGGGAACCTCCTTGAATCCCACTCAACCTATTCGTTCCTCTTCTCCTGCATTTATCAAAGGATCACTGCCGTTTAAGACCTGATACACATGGAACCAGACTGTGATGCTCTTGTCACACTCCATTGTCCCAACAGATGAAAGGAGAGGAAAAGCTCATGTCCACCACAAGGCTGAAGAACCTCAGAGCTGCCCAGACTCAAAGACTGCCTACGAGGGGCCATCTCTCCCAACCAGAAGCATGGGGCAGATCCCTGGAGGGCAAGACCTGAAGAAGCCATGTACAAGATGCCTTTGAACTGGGAGATGGCAGGGGCAGGGAGGCTAGAGGCAGGGAAGGTGAGCAAACATTTCCTGGAAACTTCAGTCTAAATCCTCTCCTCTCCCACCATTTTCTGCCAAGGGCTTGCCTTGTAGCAGGATGTGTTATCAGCTTGTTGCAAATTACATGGTAAACACTGATCCCCCCTAGTTGAGGCAGTTACCAGTCTCTTTGTTAGATTAATAAGATTACAAGATCTGGGCAGACTTTCAAATGTTTCTCTTCAGAGGGTGGTAAGAGCAGCAAGAGGCTCACTGGGTTCCTGGTGTAGGATCTCTATTCTCTTCAGAGTGCACAAGAAAGAAAAGGGTTCTTAGGCAGATCTCTGAGTTTGAGGCCAGCCTGGTCTCCAGGGCAAGTGCCAGGATAGGCTCCAAAGCTACACAGAGAAACCCTGTCTCGAAAAACCAAAAACCAAACCAAACAACAACAACAACAAAAAAAAAAAAAAAAAAAAACAAGAAAAAAAAGGGGTTCCTGATCCTTGGCCTCAGACAGATTACAGTCATGAACCATGTCTCTGGCTTCGTAATCAATCAAATGTTTATGGTCTCACCTACATGGCTTTTTCAGTCTTGTCCCAGATTATAAATGGCTTTGAAAGCCACCTTTGCAATCACTGGTTTCTTACATCATTCCTCGGCATGTGGCCAGAATGTCTGTCCTTTGGCTTGTATCTAGACTCATTCATGAAGGCTTTTATTCTGTAATGCAAATCACATCTTCTTGTTGTCTCATATTATGCCATGTTTTGGATAGTGTGATTCCTTAACAAATATAAGCCACTTCCATGTTGGCTGGGCAAGAGAGCATGGCCCCAGGTGTCCCTGTGCTGGCCCTACTTACAAATCTTTACAAGGTCCCATTGTTCTCTCTCACCTCTCCTCTATATTCCTGGCTGTGGCTGTGTGTGTGGATCTGGTACAGATTGTGGGAAAATGAAAAGAGGAGACTGTGTCTTGAAGACTTTGCAGCCAGCTGAGTGTGCAGACTTTTAGGAGTCCCCAGAAGCATCTTCCTTCAGCACAAGTGTGCTCTGATACCTCAGCCAGCTGCAGTTTCTTTAGGTCCACACACCCCACCTTGGCAATAACCCATTGTCTCACAGCCTAAGCAGTGTCATCTCTCCTGGCTCTTATTGACTGACCAAGTTCCTCCGACCCATCGTGCCCTTCTGCACCACATCACAGTCTTCCAGATGCAGGACAGGGCTGCCCTTCTGGGACTCATCCCCGAGTCCGCGCCTTGTCCACATTCTGACTCACTGACTGAGGGGTAAGGTTCTCACCTGGCTTTGGACTTGATGGCTTTGTTTACTGATGCCCTGAGATGCTATGAAACCTTTGGGGAGCCTTCTAAGTTTATTTGTTTTTGCTTTTTTGAGACAGGGTTTCCCTGTGTAACAGCTCTGACTATCCTAGAACTGCTTTGTAAACCAGGCTGGCCTTGAACTCACAGAGATCTGCCTGCCTCTGCCTCTTGAGTGCTAGGATTAAAGGCATGCACCACCACCAACCAGCCCAAATTCATTTTTATAGCCCCTGTGCTGAGCTTGCAAGGTACTCAGGGACTGGCCAGCTCAAGCAAGGCAGACACGGCTCTGGCAGGCCTCGCCCTTCTCTATTCCCTCTGCCTTGCTATAAACCATCAGAGTACATTCCTAAAGCTAGCCATCAAGATCTATTCCCTTATATAGCCACTTCCTCCTCCTGAAGCTGACCATCAAGGTCCAGCTATCAAAGTACTGAAGTCCAGCAATCAAAAACCCTCTTTGGCTCACTTAGTCAACATGCCCAATTAAAATTAAACACTTCATCCTAATATGGGGTTTCCCTTTGTACCTTTATAAACTGCCATTTTCCTACATACCACATCTCTCTCCTCTCTATCCAGAGGCAATCCTTGTCCTCTGGGACAAATACCCCTGCCTCCTTTCCTTTGTTCCCTTCCCCTTCTCCCTGGTCCCCTGTCTCCTGTCTTTGTCTCCTATCTCTGACCTCTGTCCCTCTGGGGCAAATAAATCTCCTTTGTGCTGAGAACTTGGTCTTGGGGGTCCTGAGCCCATACTTTTCCTTTCAATGCCAAATACTGATAATTTAGTAAATGTTAAGTGAGTGAATACATAAATGAACACACACAGAAAAAAAAATAAATGAACATGTTAACAGAGATAAGAGTTAACTTTATTGAAAGGGCTTTTCAGTGTCCAGAGTTTGTACCCACTGGCTGACATGGGTAGCTGCACTGCCTAAACTTCACAAGACCAAGAGCCCCAGTCCTGGATGAGCCTGCCCTGCCCTGCCCACCCCCAAGAGAGAGCAAGGTGGGCACACATCAACCAGGAGGGAAACAGGCTCAGAAAACACTCTAACTTCTGAGCAGGAATCAGAATCCACATCTTGGGTCGTAACCTTTTAGTCCCCAGCACTCAGGGGACTCAGACAGGAAGGCAAGCCAAGGCGGAGCCGCCTGAGCTGAGTCCCGAAGCACAGAATGGAGCATCTCCCCAGTCTGCTCCTGGGACTGGAGGAGCAGCAGGCTGGGCTTGGGAGCTGGGACCTAAGGGACAGTGTGAGGTGTGGGAAGTGGGTGTGACCAAAGCCAGTGGTCAGGAGGGCCCATGTCAGAGCAGGATTCATGGTCTAGGGGTAAGGTACTTGATTCTGTCTGAGTGGCTCCCATGTGGGTGGGGTGGGCACTGTAGCTCCTTTGAGGTACTCTGGGTCAGTAGGGGAGGGAGCTGGAGGTTGGGTAGTCATCTGGTCACGCCATTGGTGACTGAACATGAATTAGAGAATAGAAATCTTTGGGGTTTTTTGTTTTGTTTTTTGTTGTTTTGTTTTTATTTTGTTTGTTTTGTTTGTTTGTTTGTTTGTTTTTGAGTCAAGGTTTCTCTGTGTAACATCCCTGGCTCTCATACAACATGATTTGTAGACCGGGCTGGCCTTGAACTCATGAGATCCTCCTGCCTCTGCTCCCTGAGTGCTGGGATTAAAGTTGTGCAACACCACACCCAGCTTGGAATAGAAATCTTAAAAGATGAAACAGACACACAAACAGTTGAGATTCTTTCCCATACTCCCCTGCCCTCTATTTTTAGGTCAAAGAAATTTCTCAACTGAAAGAACTCCCCAGCCTTGGCGGCTCAGGCCATCAGACCTTTTTTGTTTGTTTGTTTGTTTGTTTGTTTTTCAAGACAGGGTTTCTCTGTGTAGCTTTGGAGCCTATCCTGGCACATCAGCCCTTCTTGCTCACTGTCTCCTCTGTTATCTCTTCCCCTACCCACCGACCACCAATCTGGATTACATCTGTTCAGCTTCCAAAGCTTTGCCAGTACCCAAGCATCTCTCCATGGCTGCCAGTGTGGTAGGCTGCACGACCACACCTGTGCACACCTATATGTCTGGCTCAGATTTCTACGGCAGCAGCAGCAGCACCAGGCTGTGCAACTGCCTCTTCTGGTAGAGACTGAGCTCAATAGCTGGGAATATTTTTATCTTTGTGTTCCTGTGCCTAAGGCAGTACCCAACACATAGTAAGCAGGAAGTCAAGTGAATGAGTGTGTGCATGAATAAATGAACCAACCAGTGCATGCCTGGATGAGTATGCGAACAAATGCCCTCGTGAAGACTGTCTCCCCTCTTTTCCAGCCACTGGGGGCATGACAGCTTTACACTTGTTATCCTGGCTTTCAGACTGTGTGTGTCGTCCTGAGAATGCTTTTAAAGGAAACTTCATTTTTGGAAAATTAATGAGCATTTCATTTGGTAAGGTGGCAAGCATGAAACGCCCCAAAGGAGCAAAAACTATTTAAGCGTGAGGGAAAGAAAAGAATAGGGAAAGGCATGTGGTCTGGGCTGTTGGCTTGCAGTGGCTGGTCTCTTGAGCATAATTGTGGACAAAAATAATCCCAAGCTTGGGAGACCAGAGGCCCTGTCACAAGTGACCTTGGAATACATTTTTATTTCACCTCCTCTCCTGAGGAGCCAATGGGGAAAGGCTTTGGAATTGGCAAGGAACAGCAGGAAAGAGACATATTATTATTCTGCCTGGACTATAAAATATTGCCTTGAGAATTCAGAGCTAGCTCCACCTGCTCTCCCCAAAGAAAGACTATTCTAACATGACGTGGATTCCTTTCACTTACTAAGGACTACATTAATTAGGAAACGTTTTCTGAGATGTAAAATTAAGTCTCTGAGTAAGCACAATTCTTTTCAGGAAGTAGGAAGCACACGAGTCAAGCAGCCCTACCCTCAGATGCGAAGCCATCTGTGATTTCAGAACAAGCGGTTTTGCTAGCTGGAGGTGGCACGCTGTTGTGAAATGCTGAATTAAATACCACGACACATTATTATGGTTTCAAAAAGTAGTTACAGGCTTCAATAAGCACACTTTTATCACAAGAACACACAACCTAAAGCCAAAATAGTTCAGTTTAGCATGCCAAAAATCTGCTCACCCCATACATTGTTAGAAAGAGCAGTGGGAAAGGCATCCAGAATTTGCTACCATTTCTCTCGATGGTAGCCAACACCTCCTAGCTTCTTTGGCAAGGAGGCCATTTTTGTATGCTGTATTTTGCACACAGAAATCTGAATACAGTGATTTGCATACCAAAACCACATTTGTAAAAGAAACTGTTTGCAGAAAAGCCAGAGGGAGATGGGGTTGCCACCATTGACTTCTATGTACAACACTCCCGGGTTGCTTGCTTTTTATTCTCTTCTATGCTGAATCCCCACAAAGGGCCATGTGCTTTATGAGGCATTAAAAATTAAAGCAAATATATCCTGCGTGTTTCTACAAACCTCACTAATAGTAACAACGCGGGCAGAATTGTTCCTGCCAACAGCCTGTCCATTGTTTACTAAAAGGCTTGTAGTGGTAGCGCTAAGCACCACAATACATGGATATTTTATTATATGTTATATTTTAAATAAAGTCTGTCTTCAGGACAGGTGCCGTGGTACTCTGATTTACATAGGGAGAAACTGAGGCATGGTGAAATAAGGTA